CAGGCTTGGAGCCCCCTTATTATTGAGGCCATTCCCAAAGGCACAGATGTCCTCTGTGGCTGGTGGCCATCCACGCCCCACAAAGGAGCCTGCAAAAGGGCCGAACCACCACCGCCCCGTCACGGGCACAGCCTACGCACAGTGCTCCCGGGGCCGCCTTTGCCTCAGAACTCGGTCCGGCCCACACCAAGCAGACCCCAAAACCCAGAGCCTAGCAGGTCCCCCCGGGGGCTTCGAAGGACTGACAGCAGCAGCCAAGGTGGCGGGACTCGGTCATTTCCACCCTGACCACCCGTGGTCCCCTAGTCCATGAACCATGGGTTGCTCCCACCTTGCACACAAGGTCGCACAGTTTGTCTTCAGTGAGAAATCCAAAGCAGAAATAAATTAGCAAAATAAAGGACAAATCATAGGCCCAGGGGCCAGACATTTTGCACAAGGGAAGGGGACCAAGAGATGGAGGGAGGGGGTAGGGAGAGAGGGGACGGGGATGAAAAAGAATTAAGATGTGAATGTCCATGCACCAATTAATTCTGCACAATGAATGATCAGTTGGTATTGCAAGCAAGGACTAATAAAAATAAAAATTAAAAAAGAGGCTAAACTGAGCCATGTGGTAGGGAAAGTAACCCGCACAGGTTGCCCGCTGCAAAGGGATCTCTGATGGGGCTGGGCACGCAGTAGGGAACCCAGTAAACACAGCAGAGGGGCAGAGGCCTGGCTGTGCTGGCCCAGGTCCCTATCCTGTACCCTCGCCACCCAAGCCCTTCCTTTCCAGCCAGCACAGAAGTTGTTTGCAACACTTGTGACAGATTTACTTCATTCTGGAAAGAGCTCAGGGTTCCAATGCCCTCCGGTCATGTGAAGGTGCCGCCTATCAGGTACCGGGCATCTGGACAACACCCTTCTTCTACCTGTTCTGAACAGAGCCCCTTCCAGAGCAGAAAAGCCACCTCCCACCAACAGGAGGAAAACTGCAGCGTTTATGTTGCTATTTCTGAAGCACTGCAAAAGCAGTAATTAAGAAAACACATGAACCTGCCAGGGAGTATTAACCGTTCTTTCCTCCCTCCACGTCCCCCATTCCTCACATCTGGAGAAGCAAGCAGGAGGAAGGAAAGGGCTGCCTTGGCCCAAACGACCGACCTGGCACTTTCACCAAGGAAGAATAAAGGGGTCACCATGGGCGCAGGAGCGGCTGTGTGTGCAAAGGCACTGCTGAGAACCGGATCACCATGGCGAGGCTTCGCTGAAGCTGGGTGGACACAAAAGCTGGCTCCCCCTGCAGCTGGCCGAGGTCACTGAGAGCCACAGCGCTGTGGGAATGTGGGAGCCTGGCACGGCCGCCCCTTTCTGGCAGGGTCCCGGCTGCCTCCCTGCTGGAAGCCTCAGCCAGCTGGCGAGGCCAGTAACCAGGCTAATGGCACCAGCATCCAGCCGCCAACAATGTTCCTGCACTGGTCAGGGCCTCAGAGCCTCAGCTTCCCTGGCTGTTCCTTTACAGATGGGGGCTCAGCGCTGACTCTGAGCTGGGAGCCACCTGGAAACCTGAGGACTTGTGTGATGGACTAGCGAGCTTGGAATGCCTGGCGGAGTGGAGGCACGTGGAAGACCCTCCTGTGGATGGCTGTCCATGGCTTAAAAGGAGAACGGGAGGCGAAGATGGGACGCTACTGATGTTCTTGGGGAGGCTTTGCCCTGGCTGGTTTCCCTAGTGAGAACTCGGCTGTTTTCATTGTGAGAGGAGCTTGGGTTCTCGCTGTCACCAGGGATGGCTGCTGTTCTCCTTGGCACAGACCCTCACCCCGCTGGCGCAGGCTCTCTGGCTTCCCCCTCTGGCCTTCAGGCCTTCCCCGTGCAGATCCTCTGTACGGACTTGGGTGAGACGCTGCTGTGGGATCTGGGGCTCTGGGGCTCTGGCTGGACTCATGGGGGAGGCTGCTGTGGGCTCTACACTTTCAGCCAGACTAGCATGGGAGATCCAGGCCTCTGGCTGGATCCTTCAGGTCTCTCATGTATTCAGATCTCCCGCACTGCTCTGCGCCTGACTTTTTGGTGAATATTATAAAATAAGCCTATAAATTATGTGTCCTGTATTAAGTCTATTCCCTTTCGAGCCCTGACTACAGCAATCTGGGACGGTACCTTGACCCTTCGGATATGTGCAATGGGATGACAATCTGCCATACACAGCATGGACAGTGCCTGTGGGACCCACGGTAGGTCACTGGCCTCCTTGCAGACAGAGCTTCTCTGATCTGGAGACTGCAGTTCCCACTTCCTGTCCCAGTGAGCAGGACTAGAAGGTACGTGGAGCGATGGGTACATGGAGTTAGCGGATTTCTTCTAGTTCACAGAACTTGTCTTACCCTTGTTATTTAGGAAAACTATCAGGATATGGCACAGAGCTCCCCTGGTGTTGGTGGGAGGAACACGCGTGCATCCAGAGCTGTGAAAGCTCAAATCCCTAGGTGGAAGAATCCGCATGTAGCCAGTGTGCTGTGAACATCCACCCGCACACCGTAAAGCACTCTGGAGTACTCGCTGTACCTAGTTTGTTGTAAATGCTCTGTAAACAGTTGTTATACTGTATTGTATAGGGGATAATTACAAAGTCTATACTTAATACAGAAACAATTTTTTTAAAAAAATCTGTGTTTCACAGTTGGTAGAATTTGTGGCCCAAGAACCTACAGCTATGGAGGGCTGATTGTATTTTAGTTTTCTCCTTGGACATTATTTCCAAATGTGATTAGGAGGTGGCTGGAACTTTTTTTTTTTTTTTTTTTTTTTTGGTACCAGGGACCAAACTCAGAACCTTGCATTGGCAAGGCAGGTGGTGAAACCACTGAGCTAAATTCACAGCCCATGGGACAACTGACCAGTACATATGGTCATTGGGGGGACAAACGCATCAAGGATGGAGGAGATATGAGACTCAGAGCTAGGGCCGTGGATGGAGCTGGATCCTGGGCCTGGGGTCTCTTTCCTCATTTCACTCATACCCGTGTGCCAGCACTGAGACGTCCTGGGTGTAACTGCTGGAGTGACAGCATGTGGTCACCAGACCACGCCCTGTGCTGCAGGGCCCAAGCAGACAGCTGGAGGCTCAGGTCCGCAGAATTGTGAAGAGGAACAGATCCACCCAGAAGAGGGTCACAGAGCCCTGTCCAGTCCAGGGCAGGGACCAGGATAACTGCAGCTGCCCTCATAGCCCCAGGGGACAGGTTCCAGGCCTGCAGCAGATTCGGTGACTCCTTGCTGTGCAGTGGGGCAGAGTTCACATGAACTGCACATGTCCCAAACAGCCTCAGCCTGGCACCAACACAATGCAAATGCTATGTAAATGGCTGTCACACTGTACTGGTTCGGGGACAAGGACAAGACTGACGTCTGTGCATGCTTTGTGGCCGGCTGTGCCCAGTTAGATGCCCGGAGCTTGGGTCTGACAGTGCTCCTGGCTCTGCCACTGGACACCATGAGTCTAGGAGCTACCGATGCTCTCGGGGCCTTGGTTTGCTCCTCTGTGCAGCAAGCAGCACAGCTTTTGGGGACACCAACATTTACCCTGAGCCTCATCAGAGGAAGGTCAAAGGCCCATCTCTGTGTGCACCGTACCACTGCAGAGACCCGGAGACAGCCCGAGCCCTTACTTCCTGCGGCTGTGGTCTGCAGGTGCGTCAGGTTTCTGAGCTCACCTTGAGCGTGCATGGACCTCTTACTCACACTGCTATGTCCCTCGTGGGGAAACCAAGGCCCAAAGAGGTCAGGGAGCTTGGCCAAGGGCACAGCAGAGCATCAATCAGAGCAGAGCATCTGGACCTGGACAGTGGGCTCTGGAGGTTCCTACTCTTTAAGCTGGAGGCTTCGTGACAGCTCAGCCGAGGAGGAGCTCTGTCACTCTGGTGCTCAGGAAACACAGTGCTCCCTGCGCCCCCGTAGTCCCGGGCTTAGGATGGAAGAGAGCCAGGGCACCCAGCACACCCGGGATCAAGCTGAGTGGGGCAGAGGCCGAGGCCCTGGGATCTCCTTCCTGGCACCCCTGATGCCAGCTGTCCTAACCGATAAGGGAGCACACACATCTCCCACTGCAAAACCTGGAACATGGCAGTCGCTCAATAAATGGCCACCCCCAGCCCTCCCGAGACCTTGTGCTCCTCTAGGGGACAGGGTGAGTCCTGGTGGCATGGTCACAGACCCCAAGGTGAGAGCCCAGAGGCTGGAGCAAAGGCCCAGGGGTCTGGGTTGTGGACTAGCATCCTGAGCATTTCCGACGGAAGCTCCTTGGCTTGGTATTTAACCTATTGGCACCTGGCTCTCTCCATCTTTGAGGTGGCACGGGACAGCTGTTTCACGGGGCTCGGGGATACTAGACATTAATTAGTCCTCAAAGAGACTGGGCTGGGCCCCTCGTTCTGCATTCCGCACCATCCCTGACTGCGCTAGGGAGCTGGGGGGAGCAGTTAATCCCCCTAGGGTTCAGGGAGTGATGGCAGGGGCTCAGGAAAACAGCTGGGGAGTTGCGAAAGTGCCGCCCATGCGCCTGTGCACAGACGCATGCATCACCACCTCCCCTGGACTCTGGGCTGTCTGGGAGCCAGCAGGGCTCCCCGAGGAGCGCAGAGTCTATGGCTCTCTGCACAGCAGAGCCAGTGCGCCGGGTCCGCAGCAGCCCCACCGGGCTCCAACCCCACCCCCAGCGTTAAGGGAAGGGAGGGAAAAGGACCCAGCGAGAGCCGAGAGAGCCGAGAGCCGCCGGTGACAGCCACCAGGGAGCAGCAGCGGCCACCGCCCCTCCCGCCTGGGCGTCACCCTCACCGGGACCCAGCTGCCCAGCCCCACGCGCGGTTGCCACGGACCCTAGGGGCAGTGACGGTGATCCCGACTGCTTAGCGACTTGGGGATGTCGCAGGGGAATGGGTGGGACCTGGGCGGGGCGGGGCGTCCATCTGCTGTCCCCGCCTCCATCCCCGCCCCCCGTCCCAGCCGCTGGTTCCTACCTGAGCTGGCGCGGCTCGCAGTCCACACCGGGCAGCAGCAGCCGGGCCGCCTGGCGGACATCGTCGCTGTCCATGGAGAAGCTGCGGCGGTGGCCTGCGTGCGCCACAGCGACCCGGATCCACTCCATCAGCGGCGGCAGCCCGAGGAAGGGCCTGGGGGGGACAAGGGGGTGAGGATGGCCCCTTGGGGGAGGGGGCGCCCCGCTCTGCCCCACCGCCCCTCCCCTCCCCTGCCCCTGCCTCGGGACCCCGCAGGCCGGCGACAGCCTCCCCAGGCAGCCCGACCGGGCCGGTGACCCGGGGGTAGGCTCTGTGCCATCGCCGTCGTGGGACCTTGGTCTCCTCATGTGTGCCCGGGGACAGCGAGTGACCGCCGGCATGGGAGGCAGTGCGTCACTGGGAGCACCGGGCGGGCGCACAGCAAGGCCGGCTCCTGCTGGGCGCCCAATCCCCAGAGCCCGCGTCCCTCCCACCTGGCCCAGGGCCCCCAGCCAAGTCTTCAGCCTCTCCCAGCCCAGCGACAGCAGCAAGCTGGGCTAGGGGCCTTGCTCACCCTCAGGTCTGGAGCCTCAGTTCCTGGGCTGTGGCCTTGAGCTTGTTGCAGGCCAGGACTGCACTGCATCCCCAGCCCGGCTCCCATTCCTTCCCAGTGCAAAGCTTTCCAGATGGGGCGAGGTTCAGGGACCGTGGACACTCGTCCCATCCGAGGTGGTTTTACAGAGCACCCAGGTGAGTTTAAGGCCCTCAGAAGGGGGGGATGTTTCCCACCCCACCCCAAGTCCTGGCAGGGTATGAGGGGGAGCAGGAGATGTGCACTTCTAGAGAAAATTTCTCTTCCAAAGTCAGGGGGCAGGGGATGGGCAGAGGCATTAAAATGCAGTTCCGGGCCACTCCAGAAATGCAGACAGCAGTCCAAGGCCTGAACTCTACTGAGCAGGCCCTACCTGTGACTCTGACCTAAGGGGGCAGGGACCATGCTCTGAGAAATGCACTGTGAGGCCATTCTGGTCCGGGGCCACAGTGAGGCAGAGGGTCCGGTCTAAGGCAACCAGGCTTCCGGATTCCAGGCCTCCTGCAGGCCGACTGCACACGACTTTCACCGTAAGCAGTGACCCGGCCTTCACGTCCCTCTCCGTCAACCCCATTCCACTCCCACCCTCGTGCCTCAGACCCACCTCGGAGCTAGGTGTGTGGGTCCCCGTTTCACAGAAAGCAGACTTATGTTTACTGAGGGAGGGTAAGAGCAAGAGCTGCAGGACAGGGCGAGGAGACCACACAGCCTGTGTGCCGCAGCCCTGTGTGACACTGCCATTCTCTGGTCATTTCCCGGGCACCCTGGGGAGCCATCTGGCAGGCCCCGCCCAGGCCGTGGGGTACAGGCCTTCAGCTGTTTAAAAACCCCAAGCCACACTTCAGATCCCGTGGTTCCTCAGTGCTTCTCCTGGGACCTCTGCCCTCCCTGCTCCGCCTCCTTTGGCCCATGGTGCCAGTCAGCACACAGACCCCAGAGGGCAGGGACCTGGGGTGCTGGGCTTGCTGCTCCTGCTGCAGCCCTGGGACAGTGACTGGCAGGTGTAGGCACCCAGTGAGTACTTGCTCACCAAACAGACTAAGATACCCATCCCTTCCTGGTGAAGCTAATGCAATCATGTTGCTAGGCCCGTGGGCCTGCGGGACGGGCTTGGTGGCTCCCCTGGCCTGGCGCGTCAACGTAAACTGAATCAGGCACTCAATAAACGCACACTGGCTTGAAACTGAGTTGGATTGGACTGTCAGGTGAAGCAGGGCTTGTTTTTGTTACTGTCTCTGTCACTCTTGGAAATGAGCCCCCGAGACTCCCCCGGTTGTCCTCAGAGGTGCTTTCTCTTTCCCTGGTGTAGTGGCCTCAAGCACAGCCCCAGCCCCAGGGCCTGGCAGCTGGCTGCTGCCTTTGATGTCCCAGCCCTGGGGCAGCAGCAGTGCCGGATAAATATCAAAGAGGGGCAAAGGTCTGAGACCAGGACTGCTGGTTCCCTCGAATCCAGGAGTCCAGCTTCCCCTGGGATTTTCTCTGTAGCTCTTCTCTCCTTTCAACATCTTCTTCTCATCATCACGCTCACCTCAATAGTTTATAGGCTCATGAATTCTTTGCTAGCAACTCATTAAAAAATCTTCTTATCTTGCCTGCTCAGAGGGGTGGAGGAGAACAGATTATCTGTGATGTTTTCTTTGGAAGAGTTGGAGACAGGGAAGAATTCTAGGCCCTGCGTCAAGGAGAGGGTGCAGAATGCTCAGGAAAAACACAGATCACCTTTTCCTTACGTACATTTTAGGAGAACATCACCCCTCTGGTGCTGACTGCATTCCACTATTGCTTGTTCACATTGACTGCAACCCAGAAGCAGCGAGTTGCTCACGCTTTAGCCAGGTTGCCAAGGCCCAGATTTCACACCCTGAGTTCTGGCTGAATAGGACTTGGGGAGGGGCCCGGGCACCTGCATTCTGGGAATTCTAAGGCAAGCCAGGTTTGTTAGCCCTGCCAAGTGGCTGGGATGCACAGACGAGGCAGGCGATGAACTCAAACAGGGTAGCCAGCACTTAAACCCCCGGCATCAAGAGAGGGGCTGGGTGGGGGGAGTGTGGTGGACTAACGACCGGTCAGCTTGGAACACCCAGCTGAGCCGAGTCAGTGTGGCTCCGGGAGTGGAAGACCCTCCTGAGGATTGCCAATGGCATAAATAGGAGAACAGGAGGGAACATAGATGCTATCGATTTTCCTGGCGAGGCTTGCCGCGGCTCTTCTCATCCTTAGAGAAGCTTGGGTCCTCACTGTGGTGGGGATGGCTGCTGTTCTCCTCAGGGGAGCTCTGGTCTTCGAAGCCTTGAGCGTTGCTTCTTGGCTCCAGGGTGGATCCCTCAGCATGGTGGCACAGACCCTTCACCACACCTGCGCAGACTTTCCAGCTTCCACCACTGGCCTTCGGGCCTTCCCCATGCAGATCCTCTGTTCAGATTTGGGTGAGACGCTGCCATGGGCTCTGGGCCTTAAGCTGGACTTGTGCGGGATGCTGCTGTGGGACCCAGGCCCTCGGCTGGATTTCAGATCTTCAGTGTGTGGACAGATCTCCTGCACTCCTCTGCATTTGAATTTTTGGGTGAATGTTATAAAACAATCCTATAAATCACGCGTCCTACATGAGATCTATCCCCTTGCAAACCCTGACAACAGGGAGAGAAGGTCTAGGCAGGCTTCAGCAGGGTCCAGCCGGCAGGTCAGCTCAGAAGGGCTGCAGCGCCCAGCTTCAAGTGGCAGATGGAGGAATGTGAGGGTTCCTGAGAGGACTGGTGGATGAACAAACAACAGCGAGGCACTGTGGACCGGCGGCAGCTGCTGTTGGACTCCAGCTCTGGCTCGTGTGTTTGGCTCTCAGTCTCTTCAACTGCGAAGTGGGTTTGGCTCAGGTTCCCAAGCCATTTCTGTAAATGGACAACTAGCAAATATGTTAGACTTTCCAGACCAGGTGGTCCCTGCTGCAAGTACTCAGGTCTGCCATACAGGAGGAGCTATAGTCCACACCTAAATGGATGAGCATGGCTGTGTGCCCATAAATCTTTATTGACAAATTGGATGATTTGTTTTAGTTGGCCAGCTTTGGTTGGTTTGGTTCCTACTGAAGAGAATACCTAATATTCTTTGATGCTACTGGAACAGCCAGTTGCTTGGTGGCTTGGAATGGGTCTGATGTGAGGTCCAGCAAACATTTGGATGGAAATTTTGGGAAGGTTAGAAGATAGAATCTTCTCACAAAAGAGGTTAGGGTGCCCCACTAAAATTCATGTTAAAAATCCCCAAAGCAGCTGGGCATGGTGGTGCATGCCTATAATCCCAGCACTTTGGGAGGCTGAGGCAGGAGGATCACTGTGAGTTCGAGACCAGCCTGGGTACGTAGTGAGTTCCAGGTCAGGCTCAACTACATAGTGAGACCCTGTATCAATAAATTCATGGTGGTGCATGCCTATAATCCCAGCACTTTGGGAGGCTGAGGCAGGAGGATCACTGTGAGTTCGAGACCAGCCTGGGTACGTAGTGAGTTCCAGGTCAGGCTCAACTACATAGTGAGACCCTGTATCAAAAAATAAATAAATAAATAAATAAAAACAACCCTCCCAAATCCCCAAAGCAACAGTGGTTCAGGGAAGCGCTGCAGAAAAGTGTCCTGTTCCGCTGTCATGATGGGGATCAGGATGAGGAGAGGGTACTCTCTCACCCTTCTACCTCTTCTGCCACCTGAGGACACCACTTTCCCTCCCTCTGGAGGATGCAGCGCATGGCACCATCTTGGAAGCAGAGAGCATCCCTCACCGGAGACCATCCCTGCTGGGTCTTGACTGGACTTCTGGCCTCAGAACCCTTGTTTATAGGTTACCCAGTATAAGGCATCTTATTATAGCAGCAAAAATGGGTGGGGACACAATGTAACACTGAATGACATATTTAAATGGCTGTGCCTGTTTTCTGACTTAAAAATTGGGGAGTATGACAGGACTCCCTTCAGAGGACGTGGCTGGCTAAATAATGGCCCCCAAAGATGTCACAGCCTAGTCCCTGGACTTGTGTCTGAGTTGGCAAAACATATTTTGTACATGTGACTAAGGTAAGAATCTGAACAGAAGACCCCATGTTATACACTGGGTCCTACATCCCATCACGCGAGTCCTAGTGGGGCGAGCAGGAAGGCCCAGGAGGATGTAGGGCGTGTGGCCACAGAGGCCAGAAGTGCAGGAAGAAGGTGGCACGGGCCAAGGACCAGGGAGCCCCTGGAGCTGCACAAGCGGGAAATGGATCCTTGTGGGCTCCTCCCAAAGGAACCAGCCCTACGACACCCAGACTCCAGCCTGGGAGCCTCAGCTCGGATCTCTGGTATCCAGAACTGTAAAACTCCTTTTGGTCTCCGGGTTGGTGGCCACGTTTGACAGCGGCCGAAGGGAACGAGTAGTGTGGGTGCAAGGGTGGATTGGGGTGTGTCCACTGCTCGATGGGGGCGCTGTCATTCATGTTGTCACCACTTTGTCCCAGTGTCCCCAGCCGTCTTTCTGCTGGGAGGAGGAAGAGGCCCGGCCTCACGGGGACACAGAGGACGCCCCTGCCTTTCCTCCCAGATGGACGCAGAGCTCTGTAGTCAGTGCAGCCCCTTCCTCGCTGCTCCTACTGCCACATCTGCGCAGCTGGAGAGGAGTTCAGATGTTTGGCTGTGGTTCAGGGAGCTCATTGTTCCAGAGACACGGAGAGGGGAGGAAAAGCTGCTGAACTGATAGCAGACAATATCTGGTCCCAGTTTCTATAGCAATACTCCGGGTACCTGCTGCATCTGTGGGCACTAGAGGTGGGCGGTGGCAGGGTGAGAGGTGGCCGTGCTGGTTGCCATAGTGACAGCCCTACTGTGTGAGGTGTGGTCCTGGGGGCGGGGGTCCTGCAGGAGCCCAAGGAGCAGCTCTGGAGCTTTGCCTCATCAAGATGAAAGCACAGAAATCTGGGAATGCGTAAAAACACAGACTCCAATTCCAGGGCTCAGGAGCCGGCCTTCCTAATGAGATGCAGAGGAGCTGCTGGCCCGGGAGTGTCCAGGGCTGGGCCTCAGCTGGATGGTCCCCAGAAGATACTGGGAGGAGACGCCTGTGGTGTCCCCCAGCCTGCGTTCAATAGCACACGTCACGGGTCAGCTGGTCCCTCCACGGACAGACTGACTCGCTCAGGGCTGACACTGCCTGCCTTCCTGACCACCTCCTGCTTCCAGTTTCTGTCTTCAGCTGTGCCAGACCCAGGACAGGAGACTCACACGGGAGTAGAGCTGTCCATGATGCTTTTGTGTTCACAGTAATGAGGGCAGACAGGCAACTGCTCCGTTCAAAGCTGTTTGCAGTCATTTGTCGTGGTTCAGTTCAAATCAAAGAATCCCCTGAACTCAACTTTCCTGTGCTTCTCACCACACTGAACTCCTCTGCATGCCTCAAAGGCCCAGTAGGAGCAGACCCACCTGCCCACCTTGGACTTTGCCTCCTACTGCTCTCCTCTCTCACTCTGCTCTGGCCTCTCGGGCTCCTCATGCATGCCAAGCTCCTGCCCCAGGGCCTTTGTACCCGCCATCCTCTCTGCCTGGTAAGAGCTTTCCCCAGGTATCCGCCTGGCTCGCGACCTTGCTTTCTTCAGGTCTCCGCTCAAACGCTGCCTCCTCTGAGAAGCGTCCCCTGACTGCCCTACTGAAATCAGCATCACGTCCATGCCTGATAGGTCATGACCTGTGCACTTGCTCCTTTTCTGCCTCCTTTGGTAGAGTGGAAGTTTGGCGAGGGCAGGCTCTGCCGGGGCTGGGTAGAGCCCGAGTATCTCTGAGTGGTCGGACAAATAAACGAGGGCCACTCCACACCAATCCTGCTCTTGTGACCCCGCAGAGGCTCTGTCCTCAGCCATCTCAAGGAGCAGCACAGGAAGCCCCACGCTGGCCTGGAAGTCGCTGCAGGGTGATGGGGTCCGTGGCCTGCCACCCGAGGGCAGGCGGGAGCAGCCGGGCCACCCCGGAAGCGGGTGGGGAGAAGCTTCACAAAATGAACGGGGTGCAGGAGGTCAGCTGAGGAAATGCGACCTGGGGTCCCCAGAGCAGCTCCGGCACCACATGCCACTCCCTTTGTGACACTGCCGAATCTCAGGCCTTTCCGGCGTCGGTCTCCCCGACATGGCCTCGTCAGGCGCCTGGGCTTTAATCTCAGAGAAGGCGGGGGGCCCGGCAGGCGCCGCCCTGGCTCCCCTTCCCTCAGGGCCTGCGCCTTGGCAGAGGGGCAGTGGGCAGGGCCAGCGCCCCAAGATCTCGCCGCTCCAAGCAAGCCTCTCTCCCGAGGCTGCAGTTGGGCCACTACATGTGGTTTCGAAAGAACCGCAATTCACAAATCGGAAGCAGCTCACGCGACCAGCAGCCTGGGAACCGCGAGGCAAACTGCAGTGCATTCAGCAGATGGAATATCGTGCAGTCATTAAAAACGACTGCTCCACAGCAGGGCCAGGAAATACCCCTGGTATATTATGAAGCAAAATAAAAAAAGGAATATACAATTATCTATACACAGTACAGGGATTTAAAAAGCCCCCTCCCACTGTATTAAGAAGGGCAGGAAAATGCACTAAATGCTAATTTTGGCTACCTCTGGGGTTAATTTTCCTTCCCCTATTTTCTTTTCTACATTTTCCAAAATTAGAAAAGGAACATATATATATATATATTTCCAGGAAACAGAGGCCACAGCAGCATAAACCTTGAATTTGTAACACCTTGTATTATAGCTATGAAAAGATCCACAGAGTAACCTGGAAGGAGGGGAGGATGTGGCTGAAATCAATAAAACCCAGGAGAAATGCGGCCGGGTGCTCGGATGGAGAAGTCGAAGGGGTGAGGGCAGGCTCAGGAGCCCCTCTGTGTGGCCCCTCAGGGGCCCTGCACTCAGCTGCTCTCATTCTGAGCTCCTCCCAGTCCCCCCTGCTCCCGACAGCGGCCATGTCAGTTCTGCCCTAGGGGCGACAAGTTACCGAAATCCTCCACGGCCAGGGACGCTGGCAACCACTGATTTCCAGGAGGGACAGTGATGTCGGAGGGGAGTCGTGTTCCAGACTGCAGATGTTCCAGCAGTGACACAAAAGTCCATCGTAAATCCTATGCAACTTTTCGGAGTAATTGTTGCTGTTGTTGCTATGTTTAGACAGCGTCTTGCCATGCAGTTCAGGCTGGCTTTGAACTCACTATGTAGCTCAGGCTGGCATCAAACTTGCAGTGATCCTCCTGCCTCAGCCTCCTGATGGCTAGGATTACAGGTGTGCACCACCTTGCCCTGCTCTGGGTATTTTTAAAGATAAAAATGTCTGTAGTGCCAGATGGGTTTTTAGAAGCTCAAGAAATAGCAAAGTTGTAGAAACACTGACTACAGCAGTATCATCCACAATTCGCCACAACCAGAAGTGACACTGTGTGACAGTAAGAGGGCAGACACTGAGCCAAGAATGGCTCCCCGGAGGCAAGATGGCTCTTGAGAAGGTGTGAGGCCTGGAATAGCCCCGTCCCTATCCCTGATTGCCAGGCTCCGCTGGGCACCTAACGTCTCACCAGCCCCGCACAAGGCCGAGGCCCTGGGTGAGGGAGGTGGCTCCATAGCACAGCCTCGCCCAGATGGGCACCGAGGAGGTGGCGCAGATGGGGCAGACTCCCTGCTCTCCCTCACTAGCTCATGGGGCCTGGCCTGGCCACGTGTGGACACGCGTGCTGAGGACACCTCCAGCAGAAGTCCTCCCATGTGCACGTCAGAGGTGACCCCCAAGCCTGTCCCGTGAGGGGTGGGAAGACACAGCCCTTCCCGGGGAGAGCCGCTGCGGGCTTCTGCAGCAGGGGGACAAGCGTTAGGACGCAGACAGCCAGCCGCGCCCGGTGCCCACGCGGATATCTGCCCAGGTCACGCGGGTCTGCGCTGGACTGCACTTCATGCTTCTCAGATGACAAACTAAGGTTCAGCTCTCCCCACAGCCCAGCATGACCCCGGGCCAGAGCCCTGCCAGGGCGGCCTTGCATTTCAGCTGCCCAAGCCCTGCTCCAAATTCAGAAACAGATTCGGGAAGGGAGGGATCCGAAAATGCAAGCACGCCGGGATGGGAGCCAGGTGACTGCGTGGGCGGCAGGGCCTTCATCACAAGTTCTGGGGAGGACGGTGGTGTCGTGAGACCAGGCTGCCCTGCAGGAGACCAAGGGGATTCAGAGCAGAGGCCGCCCAGCGACGAGAGCACAGCCGCAGCCATGGATTGGGCAGGGGGCAGGTGGGGAGCTGGGGCTGGATGTGGGGTGGGGGAGTCCTGGGCTCTGAGGAGGCTGCAGCTGAGGGTGGTGCTAGTCCTGGGGGCTAGGAAGAGGAGGAGTTGGGTAAGCCAGGGGAAGGGGCAGCTCAGTCCTGGGAGTTTGATAGCCCACAGGGAGCAGTGGGTCTGACTAGGCAGCAGCTCATCCGTGTGTCACGGCACCACGGGCCCACGGCCACACACACAGGTGGCTACATAAGTTCCGGTTGCTGTGATCAGGAGGAGAGACCAAGTGCTGTAAGGACACCACCAGCCCGAGTGTGAGAGGGCACAGGAGTGAGGGCAGCACGGGAGGAGGCTCCGGGTGTCCCACATTGCCCCGGATGGTGGAGACAGCTCATCTGAAGAGGGGAGTCCCAAGGGAGGCAGGCGAGTCAGAGGCCACGGCCGAGATTGCACCAACTCCACGGCCACGAAGAGCCGAGTGAGGCCGTCTGTGCCTGAGTTCGGCAGGAACAGCAGGCGTTTGCCACCTCTGCATGTGGGGTGTGCCTTGCCTGTGCACAAGGTGCTTCCTGGTCAGCCCGGCTGCTGGGAGGACCAGAGTGGACACTGAGCCCCAGACGCACTGAAACACGGATGCTGACTTGGGTTCTTAGAAGACCAGACAGCCCCAGCCTGTGTGCCACTGGCTGCCCTGAGATTTCCTGGGGCCAGTAGGGTGAGGTGGCCAGAGCAGAGAGGGGTCAGGGGGCCTGGGCCACAGGGGAGGAGCAGCCCTCCATGCTTCCTGTCCTGAAGGGTGGTGGGAGCCCCAGTTCCAGAAGCGGTGTCCCAGGGCCCAGGGCCGCCGCAGGGAAAGGAGGACAGAGACAAGTGCCCCTGAGGAGGTGGCGTCCGCAGGCTGCTGTCATCACAGGGAAACCACACAGTACCACACGGCCTGGCTCCTCTGACCCGAAGGGTTCCCAGACCCAGGCAGACTCTGTGGACCCACGGGTCCCTGACAGCCCTGGCAGCTCCTGGGCTGCGCAGGTCTCCTTGCAGACCCCACGGGCCCAGGCGGAGGCTGCGCTTACCTCTCCACCTGCAGGCTGACCTTGGAGGGCTCCACGTTGGGGTTCTCCCACTCCATCTGGGGGCAATGCATGAAGTAGCACAGCGTGTACAGCGCCTCGGGCTCCCAGTAGAGGGCGCCCTGCCGCTGGTGCAGGGGGGTGCCGTTGCTGTGGTGCTTGGCGTGCAGTGGCTGCAAGTGGTGCATGGCGCGTGACACCAGGTCACCTGCGGACAGAAATGAGATGGCAGATGAGAGGGGCCCTCTGGGGCTGCGGTCCTCACGCAAGCGGGCACTTGGCGTAACTAGGCCGCGGGGCCCGTGCCATCCCACTCTCTGGAACGCTGTTGTCTCGCCTGTGTTGCCACTCTGCCACCCCGAGTGTGGCCAGCCTTGCTCCCCAAGCACAGGGACGGGCTGCACCCCGCCGCTCTGCCCTGAACATCCGCCTGTCCCCACAGTGCTCTCAGGGACTTTCCTCCGCACGGCCTCTCCCTGCCGCTCTCCCGACACCAGCGACTCCGGCCAGTGTGTCACTTACAATGACAGGCAGTCCAGGGAGGACCCTGGACAGAGCCGAAGATGAGGAAGCGGAGGCTTCTGAGGGTCTCAGCAGGAGCAGCAGGGGCGGGACGCCGGCTCCGGACCCAGACTTGCCCAGGCTCCACCACTTCCGGGCACCAGGAGACTGGAGGCTCCAGTCCGTTACGGCTGTGTCTAGATGCCCCCAAAGCCTCAGCAGTCAGAGGGGAGCTGTGAGAGCTGGCTGGGCCTGGAGTGTGTGATGCTGGGACGAAGGTGTGTGGTTGTGGAACCTGTCCACTGACTGGGCTGGAACAGTCCTGGGTAGGATTAAGGGAGCCCACCAGGGTGTGACTGCTGTTTACGCACTGCTGTTCGTTTTGTCTCAGCAATGAGGAAAGTAGCTACAACATGGTCTTTCTCCTGCTTCTCCTTGATTAAGCCAAACCTGGATGCTCCTAGCTGGCCCCATGGAGGGTCATCCTGTGGGCAGAGCCAGCGTTTCTGGCTAAGATATTGTTCCCAAAGGCAGGCCATTTTGCACCACATCTGTGGATGAAGCCACAGTGCAACACTGCTTTGGTTGCTACCGACTTTCAGTGGGCTCATTTTGCTTTATTTAAATGCTTCTATCTGCAAAGGAAAACTCATCACTTCCTTAATGGAGAAGGAGTGCATGTGCCCCACACAGTCACATGACAGACAGAAAGTCACATGACAGTAAGTCTGCGGGAAATGACACAGTGGCTGCCTTCTGTTATGAGTAACAGGTGTTAGAGAGGGGTTGGGGACCTCTCTCCTCACAGTGAGGAGGGCTGAAGTGAGTTCAAGATAGTCGCACTACCCTGTCCCACAGAAATTCATCTCACCTACACAGGTGGGGGACCCTGGTCAGGACGTGGCTGGGCCAGGGTGCCCAGCTGTTGGGTGGGAAACTGGTGTGGATGTTGTTAAAGATATTTTGGGTGGGATCAACATTTAAGTCTGCAGAGGCTCTGTCTGCAGCCCACCTTTGTCTGGGGGCTCCTGCAGTCAGCAGAGGACCTGGGAGGGCGGTTGGGGCAGGGGGATAGAGCTCAGTCTCCAGGCTTTAACCTCAGCTCCTGCTACAACCTCCACCAGTGTGGCCTGGCGGGGCTTAGGCGGCCTCACCCTACCCCTCTTATACTCCATCTTCCCATGGAAACTTCCAGTATGCCATTTTTACAGGCAATGTGAACCTAGGCACACGAAGCAAGGCCATGGGAGTCCCTTCTCCTCTGGTGGCTCCAGAAAAGGTGCTTGTTACGAGGATGGCCCACCCCATCCACTCTGCCCACCCTCTGGGGAGCTGGCATGGAGCTCCTTTCCCGAGAGCAGCCGCAGCGCCACGATGCCCCTCCCACAGGTTCTCAGCAGCGCCGTCCTGTTGACAGGATCCTGCAGAGAAGGGCCAGTCTGTGCCACCGGGGCCGGGTGGCGTGAGGACAGCGGGTCTAGAGTGCATCCTGGCCCAACGTCTGGATGGCTGCGCAGGGGCCGTGTGAACCCAGCAGAGCGTTTTGTGCCGGCTAATCCCAGGGGGCAGTGTGACCGCTGGGCCCGGGGCTCTGTGTCCTCTCCCCGCTCCATCTCTGCCTGAGGACCTGGCGTCAGGGGCCATCCCGGAAGAAGAGCGCCAGTCTCAAGTGAGCAAACTCGCTGGCCTAGACCTGGGGCTTCTGCCCCAAGGACACAGTCTCTGTTCAGCCGCATCATGGTCCTGGTGCTGTCACAGCAGCATGGGTGGCAATGGGGACAGAGGAGAGGAACGGTGCCACCCGCCGGGCCCGAGGCGGAGCAGGTGCCATGAGGGGCACACAGCCTTCCGGTGGGTTCTGACCTCACTCGGGGTTTGCGGCTAGGTTGATTTTGCCCCTAGGGGACACTGGGGGAAATTTCCGGCGGCCACACACGGATTCCAATGGCGCCAAGCTCAGGGATGCTGCTAAGCATTGAGAAGCATGGGCAAGGCCTTTGGCCCCGAACGTCCCAGAGCAGAAGCCGCGCAGCCCATTCCATAGACAGGACAGTCGAGGCTCCAGCTTCAGCTCCGTCTCCCAGGTCTGCGGCTTCACCCACTGCGGCTGGTCTCCTCCCGAGGCCCAGAGCAGCCTCAGATCACGCGGGGAGGGGCATGCAGCGTGGTGTGCACAGGTACTGACTGAGCTCCGGCCCCACGCCTGTCAGTCCATTTTGGGAACTGGACCCAGCCTGAGAGTTCAAAACACAGCACAGTCTGCAAGCCTGAGGACTGACGCCCAAACCTTATTTACGGACTCCAAGATCTGACAAACAGATGCTCAAAAATAGGAAAGCACGGGCAAAGAAACTCTAATACTGGCAAACGAGAAAATGATAAAGATGTGGCCATTAAAATGTTTATTCAGAACTGCAGTGACATGAAAAAGAATCTTTAGGCTGCAAGGGCAAATGGAAAGAAGTGAAATTCAAAATTATATACAGCGTGGTCAGGATTATGGTATTAAAAACTATGCACAAAATAAATACCAGTGAAGGACAAGACAGCGTTGACCAAGGGTTTCTCTGCCTAGCAGGATTAGGGTGACATTCTTGCTGAACTTTTTTGCAGTTTCTGAACTGTGAATTCTGGCACCTGCTGTTTATAAGCTCAGAACGAAAAGCGTGCTAGGGTGGCACTTACCTCCTGGCACCTTTCTAGGACCAGGCTGGAATATACCGATCTCCTCTCTACTCATCAACTAGCGTCAAAACTAGAAAAATCAGGTCAAGTGTGGGGGTGCACAGCTGCAATCGCAGCACTCTGGGAGGCTGAGGCAGGAGGACTGCAAGCTTGAGCCCAGCTTGGGCACTCAGCAACTTAGGGGAACCCAGCTTCAAAACAAAAAATAAGAAAAAGGCTGGGGATGTGGCTCAGGGCAAGGCCTCAGACTCAATCCTCAGTGCTGAAAATCAGAAAGATGAGGAGGGAGCAGAGAGGAGGAGCAGGCAGACATTCTGTGCCCTCCTCACCCTCACGCCGAAGGTTGGGAGCAGCGTGTGGGCCTCTGCTCTGAGGCTCTGCGTCCCCGCCTCCCCAGCCACCCTGTCGCTCTGCCCGCTGTGTTTTCACTTTGGGTCTCTCTTCCCACAGCAGCCTGGCCACTGAGGACTGCACACTGAGTCTGGGGCCACCGCCCTCCGGGGCCCTCAGGCCTCCGGTCAGCCGAGCCCTTTCCCCTCACGGCCCAACCTGGGGCACAGGCCTGGGGCCCACTCTCCCCGCGTCAGCATCCAGACGGCCGGCGTGCCATCTCATCGTCCAGCCTCTGGGAAGCGGGAGAGCAGGACAGGCCGAGGTGTTTCAGACACAGGGCTCCGCCTGGCTTCCCCTGCGCGCACAGGGCCAGCGAGAGCACCTGCTCGGCGTGGACGGGATCGGCAGGCGTGGGCGCGTGGTGTCACTTGCCATCCGCCCCTCCCACCATCCTCTCCGGTCCCAGGCTGCCCCCACAGGC